TTTAAAGAATTGCCATGCGTCTTTGTAAGCTGCTTCAGACTGAGACCAAAAGTCAAAGGTCATGGCGATTTCTGCAGCCAAATGCTGTATGATATTCACTAGCGATAGCAGGGTAGTTTACTCCGAAGGTCAAAAACCCAAAACGTTACATAAAAGGAATCAAAATCGATAATAATCAGCTTCCCCCAACCCCAATTTCCACTGAAGCTGATACAGAAATACATGTTTACCGGTATTCGTAACTCGTGCGCCATATTCGCTATCCTATCTATACGGTTCTACAGTGCTGCCACCTAGCGAGGTGTCACGAGGCGAATAGTAGGTTTTAGCGCTGTGCAGTCAGGAAGGGAGGGGAGGATAGCGCTAGCCCGACTGACTAGCATCTCGGCTGATTCGTGTGGGCACGGTATATAGAGAACTGAATGAGATATGAGAACTGCGTGTGGGGTGGAAGGGAGCACAGAACGGGATGGTGGTTAGTGGTGGATGGTGGGATGGTGGTTAGGTAAGTGCGTACTGCGTAGAACGTAGCTGAACATGCATTGTTTATCATGACAAACAACATGCAGCATAATGTGCGGGAATATGCCAGAACTGATACAAAAAGGGAACTATATTTCGGGCGAGGGAATAAATGGGTGCCGTGACACAGCATGACGAAGACGATGCTGCCAAAATGGGGATGCTTTTTTGCCCCCATTCTTTTACCCCTAACATGGAGCGCTTGACCAGAACTTAGAGGTCCCCGACTGATCTTAGACCTTAACCCATTAATGCCGGAATTTTTATTTTTTGATTCTTTAGTTGTCCTTAACAAATGTTAGCCACACGGGTCCCAGTAAGAAAACTGTGCAAGCTTAAAAAAATTGTTCCATCGGTTCTCAAGTTATAAGTATGGGTCATAAATGACCCAACCGGCATTGGCACTAGTCACAAATAAGGAGTTATCACGAAAGCCGATTTAGCTAGATACCTTATTGTGTATACTGTATAGCGGTCTCAGCCAAACAATATTAAGAGGCACTGCATTGCAATGCTTTGCAACGTCTCATTGACGAGGCCGTTGGTGCCGCTGGCAGGCCTGTGGTGCCCCTGTTAGGCCTCTGGTGCTCCTGAGGGGACACCATAGGCCTGACAGGCCTGTGGTGTCCCTGGAAGGACTGTGGTGCCCCTGGGCCCTGACAAGCCTGAGGTGCCCCTGACAGGCTTGTGGAGCCCCTGACAGGTCTGTAGTGCCATTGCTAGGTTTGTGGTGCCCCTGGCAGGCCTGTGGTGCCCCTGGCGGGCCTGTGGTGCTGCTGCTAGGCCGCTGGTGCCCCTGGGTCCTGGCAGGACTGTGGTGCCCCTGACAAGCCTTAAGTGCTCCCGACAGGCCCGTGGAGCCCTTTACAAGCCCAAGGTGCACGTGCGAGGCTGGTGGTGCCCCTGTGAGGTCGATGGTGCCCCTGGCAGGCCTCTGGCTGGTGCCCCTGGCAGGTCTGTGGTGCCCCCTGACAGACCTGTGGTGCTCTTGCTAGGCCGATGGTGCTCCTGCAGGCCTGTGGTGCCCCTAACAAGCCTGTGGTACCCCTGACAGGCCCGTGGTGCCCCTCGGCCGGCCGAGTCGCCGGCTCGCCCCGCGTCACGGCCCCGGACAACCGGTCCGCTCATGATATCCCAACATCGCAACACTAGGCCTGTGGTGCCCCTAATAGGTCGGTGGTGCCCCCGGGTGCCAGGGGAGGTCATGAGTGACCCATATGACCCCCCTCCTTTGGATCCGCCACTGTGATCTGATCACAACCCCCAGAAATAAATAATCGTATAATCATCAATTGCTTTCCTTGTATTCAACATACGAGAAAATTGACAACACTATTGCCGGCTGGGTCATTTATGACCCAAGGATATTTATCGAGGAAAAAAGTTATCCGATGGCGACAAGAAGGGCAAAAATATACATCATGTCTTTTTCAGACAAATTTAGATGCCAGGTGGACGATCATTCAATAGATAGTAAAGTGCAAACATAGCATAATATTACTTTTTGGGACGGCGCGCCATTGCCAGTGACCGGCGGCTGTGCAGTCCCGTCGTCTTTGGCTCCAGAAACTTCAGTGGACGAGCTCACACGAGTTTTATGCGGCTCCGACGCTCGTCGCTGAACCCACAAATCCAACAAAACACACGCACAAGTTCCTCAAAGTGCCACTTGCCTCCATTTAGAAAAAATGTTAAGATGTTGCTTTTGGGTCATATATGACCCAAGCGGCATTAATGGGTTAAAATCGCACCCGTCAAGTGCGCCATCTTTTCTTCAGGGGCGCTCTTCCTGGTTGCCTCTGTTCTTACCAATAACTAAAGCAAATCGAACGTATAATTAAAAAGGCATACCTCAAATAAAATTTTGTTCACACCCGCTCGTGTGCACACTTGTTTTGACCTATATCTTCTCATATCATAATATATCACTTTAGTGCTTAACCCTCAACGGACTTTTGGGTTTTCTGCATATACCCCGGCCGAGGGGGGGGGGGGTGATTACGACCCCTCTCCGTCTTTTCGCTCCTAATTGAGCTAGTGCCTTGCGGATAAAACTGAGCGCGTGCGTCGTATGAGATGCAGCAACTGGTACCCGAGTTGAATGTCTAAGGTCAACCGATACACTCTGAGGTCAGTATAAGTGCTCCAAGTCGCGGGATCGGTTTTTGGTAAACAACTTCACCAGAGTGGATACAGAGCCAAGGTAATGGCACCATCGAGTTTTGCATGCTCAAACGCGTCGAAAAGTATACGCTTTGTTTTTGTTGAGGTCAATTTAAGGTGTTCACCTCAGGTCATGATCAGGGCAGAGCCACTCAGCCCACGAAGCTGGCCCAAGGAGGTCATATCGCTTATTCGATTCGATTCGGTAGGTCCTCAGTCCTCACAAGTCCTTTGGTGGCTTCCCGACTCGCTAGCTCAATTTGATCAGGACTTTTTTGGTGAAAACTCCTGTGACCTTAGTGACGTCATAAATGAAGTCGCCTAAGATCAAGAATGCAAAAGTAAATGCTGGGGGTCGCAAAGATTGTAGCGTTTGAGACAGCTTTAGACGGCTCCCGGCGCCAAAATAAGTTTTCATATTTCCCCATTGATTAATAATCGTGAGGTTGCGTGACCGACCTGACTTCAGGTGACTCTTAAGAAAAATACGAGATAACTACATACAAGTTGTGAGGCCTCTAGGAGATAGTACTATGTAGATCATATAAGCTTCATTACCCAGTGAAAGGTCCCCTGGCACGAAGGGTGTTGCGACGTCGCGACATTTTGGGACCTTCAGAGGTTCACTTTTGACGTCATTGGTCAACGGCCTGACCTTAACCTTCGCACTTGTAAGAGGGTGTCGAACAGACGCCCCACTCTCAGTTTTTCGCAAATAACTCGCGCAAAAAGCGGCTGTTCGCGACGAAACTTTCAGTACCCTCGAGTTAATCAATATTACGCCTACCCTTAAAATTTTTAGGACCCTGACCCAAAAGACCTTTGACTTGTGACCTGTTTTCCGAGACCATGTTTGGCCGGAATCGCGATTTAGCGTATTTCGGCTCACATTATGAGCGCGTTTATTGTCTTTCTTTGTGGCTTTAAGCGATCAAACATGTGAAAGGATGTTGATCCCATGGATTCTAGTGGGTGTCAAGGTCACGTGAAGGTCAGTCAGGTCACTGACCTTTGATGACCTTAGTTCACTGCTTCGAGTTCTACATGTTTCTAGGGACTAGGGTAGATTTTGGAGTTGATTTCGCATTTATAAACCGTTTGAACATTTACGAAGTAGTTTTGGTTCCCTCGTAACATGTGACCTGACCTGACCTGACCCGACCTGGACTAAATGCACGAAAACATCATATGTGATAAAAGTTAACTTGAAATTCGTGATCAGCACCCCCGCAAAACCTTATAACAGCCTCACTTTAGCTCTAACAGGTCCCGATTTTCCCGACTTTTGAGTATATATATTGACCTATCAACAAATGACCTAGGACCTTAAAATTGGGTATCAACGGCCTCCTCTCGTCACGGGCAACACGTTTTTTTTCCGCGAAGCTCTAGCTCGATCAGGGGCTGAACGGCAAAGGGGTCCAACGGACCCCCTCCCCTTTACGCTAGACGCTGGCAAAACACCAATATGAGCGAGGGTTAAAATACAGCTGCTGTCATACAAAATCGGCTGGAATCAAAGGTCAGGTTTGCAAAATTACAGATCTCGCAGCAAATAGACATGTGGAGGCGGCACCCGCCTCCCCCCCCCCCCCTCTTCTCCTCTCGGCCACTGCCAGCGAGGTTTTAAACGTATCATTCACGTTACAAAGCATCATATCAGATGACGCACCCGAGCAGCCATATGCACTGAACAATAGCTTATTACCCACCCTGGTCTATCGGCACCATAGCACATGGTCGAGACTGTCGTCAGCCACGGACGCGCACTCGACCAACCCTCCGGGCCCGTTGACTGCGGGTGACCTTGACATGCCAAGCCTGATCGGCCGCCGGCCGCTGTCGTGCGGTCGTTACACGCGGAGGGGAGGGAGACACAAAGCTCTACGTTATAGCTGACCTCTGACCTTTCCCCGTGCCCTGGTCACTGACCCCGCTCCATGTCGCTGGGCGGTGGCATGGCGATGGAAACTGGTTCTAGCCTCTACACATGCCACCATTCTAACCCTCCCCTCCCCACGCTACTACGCGGCGTGGAGTACGCTCGTGCGTAACTGGGCGGAGCAACGGGTCACGCGATACAGGGGCGGAACTGGTTGCCCTCCCGCTCGCCGAGCGACCAACGACTAATACCCTGGAGAACCGTACGTGAGTGACGCCATGCTCTAAGCGTCATCCTCCGACCAAAGTCACCAATCAGAGCCCTATAATCGACGTGTAGTTCTACACTTAGGTAACTCGCGCCCCGGTCAGGGTACGCCGTACCACATGTCCGTGTGCAGCCACCCCACCCCCACACACCTGAAGAGACTGGGTCTACCGATAGTGTATTGAATCCGGCATCTCTGCGCCGCAGTGGTGTCTGGCCTTGCGGCCGCCTCGTCTCGGCTGGCGCCAACTCAGCCCAACAGCTAATTGACATGGACATGTCGTGGCGCCAGGCCACCGCATTATGACAGCCGCGCTCACTCATTTGGTAACAGGTCATGGTAAACGGGCAACGCCATTCTCGCCCGTCTTCACGAGACCGACTAAACTTTTTATGGTTTTGTACACTTGACAAAGCTCACCAATATAAACATATCCTTACGAACAGCGGAACGAATGCAGCATACCTAGTCCTCACTCGATCACGTGGTGCGGCCAGAATCACACCGCCACACCATTACACACCACACATCATACGGTCACGTGACGCTTCATGTGCAGAGACAGGTGATCGGAGCGCGAGAAGGCGCGCTCACACAGCCGACACTGGAATGGCCGATCACCCGTGTGTTTGCGAAAGTGGCGTGTAAGCTCGTCGCTGCGCGCGAATTTCCAGTCACAGTCATTCCACGTGCACTGGAATGGCTTTTCGCCTGTGTGGGTCCTTTGGTGCGCCTTCAAGTGGGACGACTTGGTGTACACTTTGGCACATCCTGGGTACTGGCAGGCGTGAGCCGTGTTGCGCCGACGTCCCGCCGAGCCCCTGGCCTTGCGCCGGCCATCGTCAGTGGCCGGCAGCTGACTGAGGAAGGCGGGGTGCTGATGCTGCCCGGCCACCGGCACCGACAACAGTTCGGCCAAACTTGGCGACGACGGCGGTGTGATGAGACGCACCGTCGGCGCCGCCGCCACCAGGCCTGCCAGTGCCGCTGGCGGCGGCGGGGCGGCCACACGGCGCGGCACCCGGTCGTTTTCGGGACTAGCCGGCGGGCTCATCTGCGGCGTGCCACTGGGCGGGCTCGACTGGGCCGGGCCGTCAGCCGCCGGCAGGCCCGTGTACCTGGTGCCCGCCACCAGCGGCGCCCGCCGCACCTGCACACTGACCAAGTCGAGCTCGTCATTAAGGCCGGCCAGCGGCTGCGGGGAGATGGAGCGGTCGTCCGACGGCACCAGCGGCGAGCCAAGCGACAGTTTGGTTTGCACGCCGAGTGCCACTGAGGCTACGGCCTGGCCGCTGGTGGGGCTGCCGGTCGGCGGCTCGCCCGGGTAGCACAGGTGCTGCTGCGTGGCGCGACTGATGAGCGAGTCAAGGTCCACATAGTCGCCGCCGCCGGGCGCGCTCCGCTCACTGCTCATGTCGCCGCCAAACGCACTGGGAGCGGTGCTGAGGCGCTGCGACGCGTCGAACGGCTCACAGCCGGCCAAACCGGCCACAGTCAATGCCGTCTTCTCGAGCTCACTGCTTGCGCCGTCGGGAGCCGGCCTGCGGCCCCGCTCACCCACCGAGGTCGACTTTTTGAGCTGGTTACTAGCGTTGTCGGTCAGTAACACCATTTCCAGACCGTCGGGCGAGTGCGGGCCCGAGTCAAGCCGCGGCGAGTGCTGGGAGCGCGGCGAGTCGGCGGCCGTGCCAGCCGGCCAGCGCGGCGAGTCGGTGGCCGTGCCGGCTCGACGCTCGACGCTCGACGCCGCCGACGGCTCAGTCAGCCCGTGCATCAGCACCGTCTCGATGTCCTGCCAGGCCTGTAACCGAACAGAGGTGCTGGTCAGCTGGGTGTCCGGAGCCTGCCGGTCTCCACACGAGAGCGCCCGTCCGTGTAGAGGGATGCTCGGTAACGGGAGCGCAGCGCCTTCCAGTACCACCGGGGGGGGGGGGGGGGAGACGCAGGTAGTCAGAGAGCAACTTCCTGAGACGATGACATCGTTTCAGGAATGACACCTTCCCGGCCCGGCCAGGCGGGTCGCCGATGAGGGGGGGGGGGGGACACAGCAATGTTTTATGCTTATTTCTGTTTGTGACTTTGTGAATTATGATAATAAAACTGTACGAACTGAAAAAATCCTGAGTAGATGTCCCTCCATCGGCGATGTCATCAGGCGATGTCCAGAGAGAGAGAGAGAGAGAGAGAGAGAGAGAGAGAGAGAGAGAGAGAGAGAGAGAGAGAGAGAGAGAGAGAGAGAGAGAGAGAGAGAGAGAGAGAGAGAGAGAGAGAGAGAGAGAGAGAGAGAGAGAGAGAGAGAGAGAGAGAGAGAGAGAGAGAGAGAGAGAGAGAGAGAGAGAGAGAGAGAGAGAGAGAGAGAGAGAGAGAGAGAGAGAGAGAGAGAGAGAGAGAGAGAGAGAGAGAGAGAGAGAGAGAGAGAGAGAGAGAGAGAGAGAGAGAGAGAGAGAGAGAGAGAGAGAGAGAGAGAGAGAGAGAGAGAGAGAGAGAGAGAGAGAGAGAGAGAGAGAGAGAGAGAGAGAGAGAGAGAGAGAGAGAGAGAGAGAGAGAGAGAGAGAGAGAGAGAGAGAGAGAGAGAGAGAGAGAGAGAGAGAGAGAGAGAGAGAGAGAGAGAGAGAGAGAGAGAGAGAGAGAGAGAGAGAGAGAGAGAGAGAGAGAGAGAGAGAGAGAGGGAGAGGGAGAGGGAGAGAGAGAGAGAGAGAGAGAGAGAGAGAGAGAGAGAGAGAGAGAGAGAGAGAGAGAGAGAGAGAGAGAGAGAGAGAGAGAGAGAGATTCCCTATCATCTTTTTGGCACCGTCAATCCCCATCAGGGGTGTCGTTTTCCGAAAATGATTGGTAGGGCCCAAGGGCGGCGGCCGGCCATATGTGATTGAGCTTACAAGGTAGGGTACCCCTAATCTGCCTTTCTCATCGGATTTCGGCCACTTATTTTTTCCGCCCTGGTCATTGACAAGACAAACCAAAATCTAAAAAAGGCCTTGGAAGTCTAGGTCTTCACCGAGCCCCGTGCACAAAACGTGCAGTTATATAGGCATTAGGCAATAGTGTTGGAGGAATGCATGCCGGTCTGAAAGAGGCCCACGCCGACTTTAAAGGACGGCTGTGCTGAAAGGGGCCAGCAACGGCTTTGAGGGCACAAGCCGACTAAAAAAGACGGCTGCGGGCCAGGACAAGGGCGGATCCAGCCGGCCGTCTTGGGGGGGCCAACCGGTTGGGACTAGCCAAACCTAGGGTACCCCCAAATCTAGTTTTCTCACCGGTTTTAGGCCACTTATTTTTCACCCCTTCGCATTTTCATCGAAAAAAAAAAACGAAACGAAAACATTTGCAAAAAGTGAGATATTTCGTTTCAGCTGAGTCAAGGAACTACCTTTTTGGTAACGTAGAATTGAGTCTTAAATCTTCCACATGAGTTGTCAAGCCAGGTAAAGAGGGGGATTTTTTTCTTAAATGTTTTCTTCCCCTTAGTTTTCCTTTGTGACCCACGACCGCTAATTCAAGGAGGACAAGCTGCCCCGACGGTTCCTGGCCCTATGAAAAGTTGTGAGGGCAGCGCTCCCACGGCCCCAGAGTTGTGGGGGCAGGCTGCCTTCACTGCCCCCTGGCTCCCTCCCGCGCCCATGACCACAAAGTCCAGGCCCATGGGTCCGGCGTCGAGCTCAAATTTAGACTCGGCAATGTTGATGGTGTGTCTGAGTTCAGACAAGCTGAGCTTATGCTGGGTTCAGCTAGGACGCTTGAAGAGGTATCCTGTTGGGCTAAATGCCGGACAATCTCAAGCTCTAATTTTACATTTAAGGCTTAATTATCTTACTATGTTCAGTGAAAACTTTAACGTCAATGAACCCATGTGTCATTAAGTATCACTTCAAATAGTGAGTTTAGGTAGTGACATAGGTGGAGCATTAGGGGTTTTAAGGGTGCACACTGCACATGCACCCCACATGCACCCCCTAACTGCCTAAAGCACCTTCTCAAAATGACGCTTGGAACACTTAAAAAACGGGTATACAGGTAAGGGGAAATTGTGTCTTCCTCTGTTAACCCTCGCCCGTGTAGGGGAGGGGTCTGTACCCCTCCCCTCGGTTTTTCGCGAATAACTCGCGTAAAAAGCGGCCAATCGCGACGAAACTTTCAGTACCCTTGAGGTTATCCATTTTACATCTACCCTGAAAATTTAATTACCCTGACCCAAGTGACTTTTGACCTGTAACCTATTTCTGGAGACCACGTTTGGCCGGAATCGCGATTCGGCGTATGTTGGCACGCATTAGCCGCGTGTTTGCTGTCTTTTCGTGGTTTCAAGCGTTCAAACATGTGATATGATGTTGGTCCCATGCATTTGGATGGGTGTCAAGCCCTTCAGAAGGTCATGTCAGGTCATTGACTTTTGATGACCTTAGTTCACTTGTTCGAGTTTTACATGTTCCCAGGCTAGTTTTTGGAGATGAAATCGAATTTAGCAACCATTTGAACATTTACGAAGTACCTTTGATGCCTTCGTAACATGTTGTGAGGCTGTCAGAGGCGGTTGACATGCATTACGAATACCCGGCAGGACCATTACTGGTTGACCTGACCCGACCTGGCCTAAATGCATGAAGACATCTTCTGCGATCAAAACTAACACGATATTCGTGATCAGCACCCCGAAAAAGTTCAGCCACACTTACGACGCTCTAACAGGTCCCAATTTTCCCGCTTTTTGGGTCATTAACCTGACCTGGAAGGTCAACCAATGACCTAGAACCTTAAAATGGGTATCATCGTCTTCCTCTCGTCACGGGCAGCACGCTCGTTTTTTCTGCGAAGCTCTAGCTCGATCAGCGGCCAAACGGCAAGGGGCGGGGTCCAACGAACCCCTCCCTCTTATACGTTCGCGCATAGTGTAATACTACACGGAGAAAAATAATTACTCCCCCCGGGAATCACGATCCCCTATTTGGGAATCAACTGACACCCATGGTGTAATCCGATTCTGAAAAACAGTGTCCATACACCGTTTTTTAGTGTAAATTGATCTCGGTCAGAATCACATACCCAAGGGTCATTTGACTCCCAAAACTTTGACTCCCATTTTAGGTGTCGTGTCAAAAGATCCTGCACGGTGTCAGTGTAAAATGACACATCTAAGCGTTTTTGACGCTATCATGAGGAGTTTTTATATCCTATAGGTGTCATTTCACACAGTTAAGCGTTTTCGCTATCCGTGACTCCCTTATTAGGTGTAATTTGATCCTCAGTGGTGTCATAATATTCCGGTGTCATTTGAGCCCCATTGGGTTCAAATGAAACCGGAATAGCATGGCACCACTCAGGGGCAAATTACACCTAATAAGCGAGTCACGGATTACGAAAACGCTCAACTGAGTGAAATGACACCCATAGGGTTCAAAAACTCCACATGATAGTATCAAAAAACACTAAATTATTACAGAAATTGTTTTGACGTCACTGGTGGTACACTGAAAAAAATAATGACACCTAAAAGGGGTGTTTTTTGAAGCGTACCAAAAACGCGCAGTTTTCTGGAGTCCGATTACACCCGGAATCAGACACTTTCTAGGGTATTATGACACTGGTTGAGGGTGTATTTTTATACCGTACGGCGTCAAATGATTCCCGGAATCATACGCCTTATGGAATAAAAATACACCTCAAATCAGAGTCATAATACTCTAGGAAGTGTCTGATTCCGGGTGTAATCTGACTCCTGGAAACTGCGCGTTTTTGGTACGCTTCAAAAAACACCCCTTTTAGGTGTCACTTCAGGGAGTAATCGGATTTTGAGGGTGTATTTTGATCCCACACGGTGTATGATTCCGGGAATCATTTGACGACATGTGGTATAAAATACACTCCCAACCAGAGTCAGATTACCTCGGGGGGTGTCTGATTCCGGGTGTAATCGGACTCCTGGAAACTGCGCGTTTTTGGTACGCTTCAAAAAACACCCCTCGTAGGTGTCACCTCAACGGTGTCAAATGACTCTTGGGATGGTTTTTCTATACCGATACAGAGCCTGTTCCTGCATTAGCGTCATACATCAGCTCAGAAAAACAGGTCGCCTGGGCCCTTATCTTGAGACCAATAGTATGGTACAACTAACCAACATACCCATGGGTATGTTCTGCTTCTGAAGCTTATAGGAACGATTAGCCAGACTGCAACGAGACATTAAATGTAGCTTACATGTGTCTTCACCCTTGCAGCTACAATTTTATCTATTGACGATGACGTCTTCTTTTCAATCAGTCTTTATACCAGATATTGTCAAATGATTCTCGGAATCATACACCTTATGGGATCAAAATACACTGTCCAACAGAGTCATAATTGCAGTTGTTAACCACGTGACGCAAATTAACAATACATGCATGTCATTCTTTATTTTATATGCAACAATAAATTCCAAAACATTTGGGCACGAAATGTATGGCAAAATCTAATGAAAACTTATCGTAAGGCTCATGGGTCCGTGACTTCATTCACCGTAAGGAATTACTCACATTTCAACAATGTTCCATCAACCGGTGATTATTGCTACTTAGGTAGAGTTATTCTGCAGCTTAATGACATAAAAACTTACCTCCGTCTCCATGGTGCGTTGCTATCTTGTCCTACTTCAAAATTTCGCCGAGTGCAGCGCCTCGTTATTTAAATACGCATGTTGAGCAAACTACAAATAAAATCTGAAGTTTATCGTTAAAGCACTATCACTTGAAGTAAATCTACACTTTAAACAACGTTTGGCGACATTACAAGCGCGTTAATTCAAATAAGTTCCTCTCCCCGCTCACACCACAGGCACCCACGTGGGCACACTTCCGGCAACTGAAGTCAACG